AAAAAAAAAAAATACATTTAATATAACAAAATCTGCAATTAAACATTTATCATTATAAAAAAATAAAATAAAAATAAATCAATGTAAAAATATGTGTGTATTAATGTTTATTATATAATTACCATAAACAATATATATATTATAATATATATATTAGGGATGCACAGACACCACTTTTTCCAGTACTCGCCCGATACTGATACTTTTATTTTTGGTACTTGCTGATACCGAGTACAGACACCAATATTTTCATTGCATTTGTAAAATTTTAAAATACTGGGTACAGAAACCAAAAGAGTATGTATAATGTTAGTTGGTTAACTTCATTTATCAAATAGATAGTCAAACCAAAATTTATTCAGACACCTTCAACAGTTCTCACATCATCACAGTTTATTCGCTATAGTTTAGAAAATGATAATAAAATATGACAAGAACTCAGAGTTAAACTGTCAGAACAAATTCAGCTTGATAATGTCAGATAACTTTGATAGAAAGGTATGTAATGGATTACAATAAACCAAAGATTATTCAGACAGCTATCAATATTTACACAACTATCAATACTTTGTCGGGCTACCCTTAGCCTTAATGACAGCATATAGTCTCCTGCGCATGCGGTCAACCAGGTTCATGCAAACCTGAACTTCAATTTTTTCCCCCAGACTCGGTCTGAATAATTTTTGGTCCCAAATTTGTCTCAATTTTACTGGTAGTCCACTGTATGAAGAATATTTGGGTATAATATATCACAGTTTAGTTTATTTTGCTATCCTCATTTTACATAAATTAACTATAGTGTCCTGCACCCACTAGTACAAAAATATCAAAAATTATATCTGGTCTCTGAATAATTTTTGGTTTGATTGTATATCTTTCTGTTATTTTATATGTATTTTACAAGTTTTTATTACTTTCACTGTTCATTTTTCTCTCTCTCTCTCTATGGTAGCCTATCATCTTTCATTTAATAGCATTAGAGCTGCTCCATTGCAGCGGCTTAGTACTACAATCACGCGATTTGCTGTAAAAATGCAGGGAACCACTCGCTATAAATCTCCTAACTGTGATATTTTCATAAATTGAAGTCGCGTTTTTTTTCATCTGAAACATGCAGCGATTTATATTCCAAAGCCACTCATATAATGCAGAAACACATGAAGCGAGCAAAACACGTGCAACGCGCACACGTATTTGTACTGGTGCAGAGTGAGGGACAAGTACAGTACAGCCTAGCGCATTTCACACAGGCTGTTAGTTTCACTTTCGCCAGAAAGTCGTGTATGCTTAAGGGTGAAAATAAATGACGTTTATAGTGAATGCCCCTATAAATGGTCTTATATTTACGATTTAGTTTTAATCCAAATGATACGTGCTAAGTGAGCGAACATCAATAAAGATCACACAACAGAAGTGCGCGCTCTCTCTCTCTCTCCCTCCCTCCCTACCATTAAGTAACATGTGCATTGTTTTACTTACTTCTTTTTGACATATCCGACCGAACTACTAACTTTCTGCTGTCTGATGTCGGTGTTTCTTTGTCTGAATATGGCACTTATCACATGCTGTGTGGTATCGGCGTTTGGTATCGGGGCATTTTAACGAGTACAGGAGCTCAGTATCGAGCATTATACCGATACCAGTATCGGTGCATCCCTAATATATATATACATAAATATATAAAAATCACACTTTTAATTGATTGGAAAAAAAAAACTAAATGTTGAATAAAATAAAATCTGCAATTAGAACAATTAATAAAATCATGAATATATATTGTGCGCGCGCACATAAATATACATACACACACACACACACACACACACACACACAATGTATTTACATATGTTAATATAATTGAATTATATTGTATAAAATTATATAATAGTTGTGTGTATGTATATATATATATATATATATATATATATATATATATATATATATATATGACATTATATAATGAATAATAATAATAATAATAATTTAAATCTTCTGAAACACAGTAGTCACTCTCAAATTGAAAATATTTACAAACAGTAATACTGAAGCCTGAAACAATCTGACACACCCAGCACAAGCCATGTCTGATTTAATCTTGCATCAATCTTCTAGGCATAATACAGGCTTAAAGCCAACATCGGCAGTTTGAGTAAGCACAAAACACTTGCCAAAACCAAAAATAGACACCCTAAGCACGTAAAAGTACAGCACACGCTTGTACAAGCTCTTTAATGTTCAAGCTCTGACACATGCACAGTCATGCTTTGTTCCCTTACTTGTTAGCACCCCCTGGTGAGACCTTGCGTGCATGAGAAGTGACCAGCAGCCTACGCAGGAAGTCAAGACGCGTAGCCCTCCAGCGCTCTGGTGGCAGGATGTGCATGGCTAATATGGTAAAGTAGTGCGGCCCGTCCACCTCGTACGAAGTCTCCACCCACTTTTCACAAGGCTGTTCTAAGAAGCTTTGAAGATTCTTCTCCTCCCGTGACGTGGCCCTTGTTCTGAAGAGAAATTCAGGAAAAAAAATGTTTAGAATCTCAAAACGCACTGGAATTTGAATCTTATCTTTGATAAACATACGTGTTAAGGACATAGAGAACGGTGTGAATGATGTAAGGGATAAGGTGGATGTTGCTCTCGCGGCCTCCTCCCCCTGTGTCCGCACTGAAGGACTGCTCCATAGCAAAGCGCAGGAACAGCAGCTTGGTATCGTGAATGTTGAGCTGGTACGTGGGTTCCCTTTGCCCAGTGCACTCTTGCAGATATGTGTT